AGTCAGTATTTGTAATTGATGTTAAATTAAAAATGAAGTTAGAGTAGATGCTCAATAAATATTTTTAATAAAAAGCCTAATTAGTTATATAAATTTATAGAAAATATATAATGTAAAATTAAAGCTAATAAGTTCAGATAATCCTTAGCAAGAGTGAAAGACTAATTTTCTTGAGTTGTTTTACATATTTACTCTAACTAAACTAATTTAGCTTGCTTTTTTTTATGTTTTGGTAATTTTTTATTACATAATATATTTATGAGTATTAAATCTTGAAAAGGTATTTTTTATGAGAGTTTGCATTAAACAAAAGACTTTTTTTTTAATAAAAATGAAGACTTTTATTTCTATTTTTTTTAAAAAAGAAACAAGAAAAAAATATATGTAAACAGTTTTAAAGACCCAACGTGGATTTTATGTAGACATAAAATTTATATAATTTATACACTTACTGGATTCAATATAAATTTTTTATTTAAATTCAAATAAACTAGATTTATATGTGTATACATTAGATAAATTTTTTAAATAAATGCTTTTTAATAGATATTTAAAAACAAGTAATATAAAATATAATATATTTGCTATTACAGCTAATTTCATAATTCATGGACCATTAATAATTTTTCAGTCGCATTCAGTCGCAATATTTTATAGTAATTTTATTATAAAATATTTTCAGTCGCATTCAGTGTAATTAATTGACTCGTAATTTTTAATTTCGTATCAATCATCAATATAAAGGTCAAAAAATAAATCATATAAATATTATTTTCTTAAAATATAACTAAACGAATTAGGAATTATCTCTATCCAATTCAAGGTTAATAGTTTCTGATCGGTTTAATAAAGGGTTGATTAAAAAATTATCCATTCTTACGTCCGATTCATCATATTTTGAAGGCTTCAAATATCTAAAAAGAGAGGTAAAAAATTAATTTTTTTTATTTAATTAAAAAAAATAAATGAACCGAACCTTCGATTTGTTATTTAATACAAAAAGAATATCGAATGACTTTCGACATCACAAAGAAAGGTAAGTAAAAAATATTATTTATTTTAATTATTTTAAAAAGAAAAAAATAAAGAACTTTTACCTTCGATTTATTATTTAGTAAACTTTCGTTATCTACAAAAAGAGCTAAGAAATATCTAATTTAATTTTAAATATATTAAATATATAATTTATCATACAATCTATCATTTTAGGATTCTAGGGGGACTTCGGCATCTCTAGAAATTTTTTTTAAAAAACAATATCTCACTGTAGGAAGCATCTTTACCATTTACATAACTACTTGCTTGTTCCGCCGTCACAATATCAGTTCCAAAAATTTAATGAATCAATTTCTCGTAATTGATCGAGCTGAGAAGTTAATAAAAGAGATTTGGTAATTTTTGTTATTAACGCCCAAAAAATTAATACCAAATTCCGAGTATCCTCAAATTCTCAAACTAAAATCCATCTGACAATGGTATCTAAAAGTGAAATCACGAACATCGCGGGTGGAAAAATTCGCTTGTAAGGAAATCAAATCTGTATATCATTTAGATAATGTTAAAGGTCAATAAGATTAAAAAAAAAAATGAAATAAATTTATAAATGAAATTACCAAAAGAATACGGTCAAGTTAAAATGGGCTTTTAGCATATTGCCTATCAGGCTTAATGATCGCGTCACGAAACATTCAAACAGTTGGTAGATTGCATAGCTCTGCAAAAAGTAATTTGCTAAAAATTTATCACTGCAAAACAAACTCGCAGCAAAATTATTTTAGTTTTTCAGCAGTTTTACTCAAAATATTTTTTTTTTCGAATTTTTCTTTGTGTTGTAAAGTTCTTTTCCGCATTTTATAATAAAAATGACCGATAGATGGTCATAAAGGGAGGGAAAAATTGGAATCAAGGTTAATATGGATAGGTTCTAAAAATAATAAAATATATTTTTTTTACTGTGTAAATATTACGATAAATAAGCGATTGATTTGTTTTCAAAGAATTTTTAATTCGAACATTACTTTTTAACAGACCTTGATTATATAAAGGGGTGGCAACATATTTCGCGAATCGCTTCTAGAAAAAAGAAATTATCCGTTCATATGTCGTATTATTTATTATTGGTTATATATACTGTTATATGAGTTTGTTTCGAAAAATTCACAGGTAACAAAGTGCAAAATTATTGGAATTTTCACGACAATATAAAGAAAATAAAATATTATGCGGATTCTTCTCGAAAATCTTCAGCAAAATAGAAGAAACGGAAACCTTCATATTACAAGCATTTGGTATCAAGAGTTAAATTTTTGGTAGAATTTTATTAGAAGAGAAATTCTGGTACAAAATTGCTTTTCAAAAAATTTCAAAAAGCTTCGAAAAGCTTAAATTTTTGACGTCGACAACGTGATCAAAACCAACTATGATTGGTCCGATCCATTTCTCGAATAAGGAAACGAAGAAACCTTTAAGTGAAAATAAAGCCAATTCGTAAATAAATCAACTATCATTTTTGTAAAAGTAAAGCACTTTTACAAGCAGTCATTATTCGTCAAAGAGAAATTGTTACTATTTCTCGGATAAGGCTACGTTAAAAAATCAGTTGACATTTTTATTCGTTAGTATATTAGTATATTAGTATATGACGAATAATATATATTTCTTTTATTCAAACGTTGTATACTAAAATGGTCTACCAATAATGGGTGGTAGTGGTTCAAATAACGACATTTCATTTCAAAACTATTATCAATAATGTCAGAAAACAACGAAAAAGATAATGAAGGTATGTTTTTCTTAAGTCCAGGTATTCGAAGCGTTATACGTGACGTGATAAGTGGTGCAACTGAACCTGGCAGTTAGCAAGAAGGTTTTAAAAATGATGGAGGGTTAATCCTTTAAACATATGTTATCCTTCATTTAAATTATACGAGGCAGATTTGAAATTTCGATGACATCGTCCCTGTTTACTTCTTGTGAATCTTTTTTTAAAGAGCTGTTACCCAAGGGAATTACGTACTTATAAAAAATTTTATATAATTTAGGCAATCGTTTCGGATCGTACAAGTGATATTGGCAAATAGATAGAGCAAATATTGCAGATGTCTACCGAATCGTTTATATGGATTGGATTTCAAACTATCATTTGGTAAGCTTCATACCCATGCTTACACTTAATGCGTCAATTGTACTCGGAGATTCTAGACATCCTTGGATTAATACTCATGTGTAATCGGAATACATGCGTCACTGAACGATTTAGAGTTTCACGTTTCTCTAATCAACAAAAAACAAACTTCCTTTCTTTTAATTTAGGTTTTTTTCTCTTATCGGAATGGCGGTTACGTTATTTATTATAAACAGTATAGTAACATCAAGTTACGATCTGTTATTATTTTTTTATTAAATAATTGGCAGGTTTAAGGAAATATTTGTGATGGTGTAGATAATTAATTAGAGGTGATGTCAAATTATCTGTCAAAAGTGGTGAAGTGGTGGTATGTGTATTATTTGTGTTATGTGTGCTGAAAATGTTAAATTTGTAAATGAATAATAAAATAAATTATATAAAAAATATAAATTCGAAAATATACGATATAGTTTATAAGATTATTTTAATTATTATTCTCGTCAAAGAATGACGAAAGAATGATTTAATAAATAATAAATTAAAAATTAATACTTTTATCGTCGCTTTACTGCGTATGGAAAAAGAAACCGTTATAAATGCATTCTATAAGATTTTCCAAATGTTCTTTAATCAAATTAAATTATTTATTGTATTTATTCATTAATTGCTTAGCAAGTAATTTTAATGAAACAAATTACGAAATCATTTGTAAAACCTTGACTCATTAAAAATAAAATCTTACATTAACATTAAATTGTCCAATAATAAATAAATATCATTTGATAAAATTATTTTCTTTTATATTATATTTAAAATTATTATTATTTTTTTATGATTATGATATAACTCCTATACTTAATATTTTAGTATTTTATTTTTTTTCAAAAAAAATAATAGACAAAGTCCAATAAATTGAAACTGAATGGAAAGTTTGAAATCATATTTACTATATTATTCAATAATGATCAAATAAAAATATAATAATGAAACAATAATGACATAATGGATTTAATGGTGATTTTTACTTTTAGATCAATTTCCTCTTTCCTGAAAATTTACAAATTTGTTTAAATACCTTTTTTCTTACCACCTTTCCTCATTCTACTAATGTATAGTATAGTTTATAGGTCATAATATTTATGCATCAAAAATATTTTTGTAGAAATTCACAATCAATAATAAAATTTTGGTCATAATGCTTGAACAATATTTCTGTTCACAGGCTATATGCTGTAAATAGCTTCAAATATTGTTCTGATAAAGTAATGTTTCAAATTATTAAAATTTATTTTTTTGAAATAAATATTTCATTTACTTTAAAATCTTGTTTGAAGAATTTAAAATGATTTTAATTTATAAGTATCATATTATATATTTATATTTTATTTATTTGATTTAGTGTTTACAATTCCTAACGATTCTAAATATTTTTAATTATTTAATTACTTATTTATTTAATATTAGATATATATATTTATCAAAATTTAATTTACATAAAATGAACACTTTTTAATATTAAAAATGAAAAATATAAGAAAGTCTAAAATACATATTTTATAAATGAACCTTTAATTTTGATGATTTCAACAAAATACTGAATAATTAGGTCTGGCTTATTAATATTAAAACTTTGCTTATTACTATAAAGATTTCTGAATTTTGTATTAAAATCTTTAATATCTTTAAATGTTATTTCAAGGTGATAGACAATTTTAGAACATAATAATAGTTTGAAACGTATAAAGTTGAAAAAATTATTGGTAGGGCTGATGACAAACTTATAACATAATACTTGAGTTATTGTAATACAAAATCACTTACATAATAAGATCAAATATACCAAAATATTTTACAAAGTTTATTAATTTCTTACATATTATAACTAGATAACAAAATTAACAAACTTAATTTAATGATTTTTTTTAATTTTTTTTTTATTTTAATTATTTTTATTATAAAAAACAAAATACTTAAATCAAACTTAGTTTATATATAACTTAAATGTTTAATTTATGATATACTTAAAAAGAAATGATCGATAATATAAAATTCATGAGTTATAATTTCTTATAATTTAACCACTATTCCTAAATATCAGTGTCTTTATATTAAAAATATGTTTATATATCACAAAATTGTTAGCTAGAGGTTTAATAGTGAACAAATACCACTATGAAATATTTGCATAAAATTGATGAAAAAAATATTGTTCCTATTCGTCTTGGTTTGTATATAGAAGTAGAGTTAAATGCTCAATTATATAGAGCAAAAAAGGGTTCTAGAACAGATGACCAAATCGCTTCCGAATCAATTCTAGCTATATAAATCCATTATCAAATTTAAACCTCTAGCGTGATTTGACTCAATTCTAGATGATGTTATCGAACTTGACTTGGAATTAACCTTCAGATATCAAAAATTATACTGTTTGATATAACCATTCTAGCCTGATTTTAATTCCAAATAATATATCAAAAAATTTTACTATTCTATTTGCCTTAGGAGAGGCCATCGAAAATCAAGAAACAAAGTGACGCAATTTGAGCTGGGCCTGATCATGCAAGCCTAAAATGTATACCAAAGTCAAAAAATCTAACTAAGTATAACCAAGTCTATCAAAAAAAATCTAACCAAAATTCGCCTAACCAAGTATATCCAAAAAAAATCTAACTAAAAGTTATTATCTATTCTGAGTTTTTAAGGTTTTATCACGTAATCTGTTATAGTATTAAATCACATAATAACATTTAATATGTAGTGAATACCATCCAGAAGATGAGCTAGTAGGCTTGCTACATATACTACATGATACACGTATCTTAGTTTTTCAATGCTCATAACATTCTTCTTCACGCATGCAGGATCTACCACAAGTCTTACCAGTATTGTGCAAATATGAACAGGAATATTCTCTGATCATTTTTTATATATAGGGAAATAATTAATTAAAGAGAAAATTTTATAAAGGTATTATACAAAAGTTTTCTTTCACAATGAGTACACAAATTCAATTAACTAATACTAAACCAACCTTTCAGAAAGTAGAGCAGGCATTAATAAATGTAATCAAAGCTGGCATTTATTATAGATGACCAAAAGAAGACAAATTCATACAAAGCTATAAAGAGCAAATCAAAAAATTACAACAGGCAGAGGATCCTCAAGAATATATTCTTAAACTAGCTATGATCATATTCTCTAATGAAGCTAAATATCATAAAGTCAAAGATGACTACAAAGAATACTATGGACAAGATCCAAAGATTCTTAACGCCATCATAGAACTATATAAATTATACTATAAATTAGCTAAGGATTATTTTATTACTGATAAACAAGTTGATGAAGAGATAGAAGACTTCCTATCATCACTTTAGAAATTTAATTTGTATGTACCCATTGGGAAGGCAATTCTGTATCATAAGGAATAATCATCAATTCTTCTTGAACAAAAGATTTTTTAGGACGTTTGAAATATAATTATCATTATCAATTAACCCAAAGGTGACTTCTTCAAGCCAGTATAAGATCAGCTGATTTTTTTGTACTATAGATTGACAGATATGATAAATATGTAAGGACCAATTCAAATTACCAGCATGACGTCTTCCTCCTTCCTGATCACTGGGATATAGTAAATATCTTACAAGCATATCATCAGAAAGCTTCTCTTCATCAAAGCCTATAGGACTATCTCAAGGATAAGAAGACTTAGAGATAATACTTTTTCTTTTTATTGCTTCAGCAGGTGAAATACCAAGATGGCGTGTGATAGAATTATTAATATCTTTTACTATTGTAGTAACAACATTGGTAAATCTTTTATTAGAGTCTCTAAGCTTTTATATTAGATTGAATCAAGAGGACGAGGAAAAGTAATCAATAAATCTTTTCCATCAAAAATACGATAAAATATCTCAATAAATGTTCTATTATATCTTTTGATAATACCTATAGTATTTTTAGACCTAGCCTTCTGAATTGTTACGTCATGCTTTCTTAGTATTTTTTCACATTCACCTTTGAATTTAGACCCTTTATCTGATAGAAATACTTTTGGCCAAATAAGAGGGTTTTCAGGATCATCATAAATTTTTTCTAAGCATTTTGCAAT